ATTTACGTGGGGAAAAGCGGAAGTTTCAAGATAAATCGCAGTGAGCTGTGGGATGATTAGGCGAACGTGGGATCGGTAGGTAGGTTACCACGCAGTTGTTCGTGGGTCTTGGCTCTGCTAGCACAATTAGGCGCGCACACCATATTGTTACTGTCGTCACACATACATACATACAGCTCGACATATCATTCGCGGAATATCTCACATACACACGGTGTCCATATTTACCACATATTCACGAACACATACAGGCAACGCCGGGCGACTGTCTCTGGTTACCTGCGGCTATTTCCAGTTTTGAAGCAACGTTCCCAGACGTGTGTGCGGTAATTTACTCGCCCGTCACTTCGCAACGAATCGTCGCGCAATGAATTGATCGATGTCACGTCGTTCAAAGCTCATCGATCCCCGATATATTCTTCGTTTTGTTTTATTTATTGTTTCCCACGCGAAGAGTAATTTATTTGCGCGGCGTACGTACATTTCGGTGACGTTGCTATTTAGCGTCGTATATAATTATTTACACCAGACTATTACATAATCATAAATCACAGCTGCGTGTATATGATAAATCGTATTGAAGTTTGGAATTTCATCAGTTCTTCGTAAAAGTTCTTCGTTCTTTTTACGAGGGAATACGTTTATGTTTCGGCGCTTTTTACGCGCGCTTGGCCGTGTACGTTTCTCGGTGACGATCTCCCGTACAATGGCGGAACACAACGCGGAATTGGCTTTTATGCAAAAGCACGCGCATATCACAATGCATACGTAAGCGGCATGTGGACGTTTCTCCAGGCCATTTCTTCGCGTATTAGCTTTTCCGTGACTCGCTCTATTTCCATTTCCATTAATCACCGACATTCGCGCGCCTTCGTGACAATCGTATCCACCGCTCCTCCTCTTTTCTCTCTTATCCGAATAATATGGACTCGCGGGAAATCTATTCGTCCCGGCGACTTTTTTTGCGCGCCAGGAGCGTGTTTTAATCGACTTCAAAACGCGACGCTCCCTTCTCGCGTGACAGTTGAGTTTCCGTGTGCGTAAGTATATGTGTTTTTTGTTCGCTCGCCCCCGACACTCGTCCTTGAATTTTCAACGCGAGCCACACGTCAGCTGTACGGATTTATTAAAATGCACACGCAATGTAACGACAGTCATAATCGCTAGCTGGAAACGCGATTCATCTTGAACGAAACGGAGCATTAATCACGTTTTCTCTCACACGGAGGAGCGGATACGATGTTTTTATTTCTCACTGAAATTCAATTACATTCCGAATTACGATGAGGACTGACGAAATTTTCTATGATCGTCGGCGACTTGTAGTCGGCTCGATTCTGCGCGGTGCGATAAAACTTTCTTTTTGCAAGTCCGTTGCATCGCGCGTCCTTGTTAAGTATCGTGTATCGAACGTTAAACTTTTGCCGAGATAACGAGCCCGCGTGTAATGAGCTTTTAATTACGGTCAACGAGGTATCGCAGAACGCGAAGCGGGGGATCGAATTGCCGCAAACATTAGGACCAGCGGAGTACTTAATAATAATAAGTATTTTCCGGCTAATTGGCGCACTCTTCTCGCAAGAGCAATTTGCGCAAATTACAGAGAGAGAGGAACTCCTTTCGTCCTATTCGTGAGACACTCGTGTTCATCATTGGTCGCAGGTAAACCAGAACTCATAGGGCACAGAACAGAGAGCTTTATATTCGCGAGTGTCTTTTCGTCGAGACAACACGGAGCAGAGCGGGGTTTCTCATAAATTTTGCCGCGACCCCGATATACAGGCGCGGGACAGACTTGTGAAAACAGCGGCGACTCCAGCTGTCAGCCGACGACGGCTTTGGTCGAGATATATGTTCGACACGATCGAGCGCGCGATCCGTTGAAATATAATCATCACGGAAATATCCCGAGAGTGAAACGTAGCTTTTTTTACAAATACAAATCACAAATCTCGCTCTTGACAGTCTCGACGAGCAGGCACTGCTCAAATCACGCACCTGCATATCACCGATATCGTTTCATTAAATGTCATATCATTAAAACTGTGGAAAACGGGAGGCAAAGCGCGCGTACGCGCGCTCGCCTTTCCCTCCTCTATTGATCGATGTATTTAGTACATACAGCGAAGATTTCTTAAGGCTTCTCAACCTAGCGAATATAGCGACGTCAATTGACGACTAGTGTCTGTAAGCGAATTAAAGGAAGTTGTTAAGGCCTAATAGATAATGGAAAAAAAAAAAAAAATTTGTTAGAGATGTAACGAGTATAAAACACACACGTAATATACAGACGGCATCCAATAAACAATAGGTTTAGAGTTTCGGTTGTTAATAATCAAGCGCTTGTGTCAGAATTTACATTCGCGAGGCGGATATTATTCCGTGTAGATGTATATATATTGTATTTGAGTTGTATAACTTCCATGCCTTCGAGCGCGTCTTCGTTTACGCGTTGCACGCGTCCCGTATATTAATTATTATTATTATATCCGCATTATTTTATCGACATTTACGCGCGCGCGCGCGTGTGTGTTGGAGAAGTAACTTAATTTAAATTTCAACGTGTCGCGCATCGAATTCCCGCAATGTTGACAAAAATTATCTCACATGACAGCGGAAATGTCGCATCTAATTTTGCGACGCGAGGCAAAATTTACTGAATTAACCGTACTCTAATTTACTTGCTGTTGTGCAGTAAAATTCAGCATATACATGTTATGGATAATTAATCTGCGTTCTGGTCGACGGGAAAACGTCGTTCCGCGCAGCGAAAATTCCAGAAGGGCGCGGCATGAATTTTCAGTCCGGTGATGAGAAAATCAACTTTTGTTTTACGAGAGATAATAAAGTCGTCAACTTTTAATTCGAAGTTTTTTCGAGATTATTCGTCGCTATTATTACGACGCGCTATTTCGCGTTTAATGATACGGCGATTTGGCATTTTCTGAATCGTTTCATTTCGATCAACGAAGAGAGAGGTAATCCTTATTGCCAATTAAAACCGTTCTCATCCATGATGATTCATTACGAATGCAAATTCATATATGAACGCATTGCGAAAATGGGAATTATGAGGCCTCATGTTTTATTGACGCCGCGCTTTAACGAGATTCGCTCGAAGGTCGCCACTTTACGACTAAATGTGAAAAAAAAAAAGAAAAAAACGAAACAAATATCGTCAATGCTCCAGTGTTGTCTTGTAAGCTTTTTTAAGCAAACAGAGAGAAAAAGAAACCCTTTACGCAAGACTGTTCAAGAGAGAGAGAGAGAATGGGAGCGAGCGATAGTGCGAGAGAAAGCGAGAGAAAGAGAGAGAGAAAAAGAGAGAGAGAGAGAGAGAGAGAGAGAGAGCAAAAATGCGTGAAATGCGTGAGAGTGAGAAAATTGTACCTCGAGAGAATGTGTGCGAGAAAACTTGCGAGTGTGACGCGAGCGTGAAAGAAACTGAAAGAGAGAGAAAGGAAAAAAGCGTTAAGGGACGAAATTACCTATGGCTCTAACTCTAAATACTTATTACACTTGTTATGCTCTATCGATAAGTTTATATTATATCTCTATCGTGACACAGAAATTTACGACGTGATATTATATTTATACGGGCTGTTACACAACTCTCTATCTCCGAAACTTCCATTTCATCGCGCGACCGAGCGAACGCGGATTAGCACAAAATGATGCGCAAGAAGAAATGCAAACAAAAGAAAATGCGATGTAAAGCAAGAAGAGAGAAGGTGAGAGATACACTTGAGAACGAGGAGAGCCAACTGAAGTGGATATCCCTTTCTCTCATCGGTCGGAGGGTCGAGTTCTCAGGATTTTCGTATCTTTAAGACCGATACGGACGCGATTCTTCATTGAGAATAATCGGAGCTAAAGATGACCGAAAGAAGCCCTGATGCGAAAAATATCGGTAGATGTACATACATGTGTACAAAGGAAGAGTCCTCCAAAGAAAGACCTCGGAGGCTCGCGGAAAATTTATCGCCTTCGGTCTACCGTGGACTCGAAGCGCACTATTGAACCGTGAGTCCGCCGGCTAACATACGACAAAATGCTTCTTCGAGGTCGCCGGTGGGTCGAAGGTTGATTAATGGCGAGACAAACGAGATGAGAACGGTTCGACCTGTGAACGAGAAAGAGATTAAAGGGAAAGTGGTAGTTGGATTGGAAGATAAAGAGAGAGAGAGAGAGAGAGAGAAAAGAGGGAAGACAGAAAGACAAAGAGATAGAGCGAGATTCAGATCGTATAACGCGCAGTCGATGGAGCTCGGAGCTTCTCGAAACCTGCGTTGCGGAGGAACAATAGACGGGCGAGAAGTGGAAGATGCAAACCGGGAACGCGAAGGGAGACGAGGCGGCCACAGTGTCGGAGAAGAAAAAACGGTCCTAATCTAAGCTGTTGTAGGGAGAAGAGAGGTGAAGGAGGAAACGTGGACTGTAAGAGCCGACAAAAAGAATGTTCTTTGAAAATCGCACGAGAAGACGATAGCTTTCTCCTTTTTTTTCCGTACCACACAGTCGATAAAGACTTCCTCCACAACCCTCCGCGATTTTTCCTTCCCGTGCGTTCTATCGTTCCATCCGTAATTTCTCGCTTAGATCCGTAGAATATATATATGTAGCGATAGAAACGACTCAAAGAGCAGAGCATTGTGCGTGCGCGCGCGGCCACGGAAATTAGAGCAGGAAATTTATCCCGCGGTTTTGCAATATCCGTCCGACCGGACGGTTATTAGAATATTTATCGCTTTGGGGCGAGAGAAACTTTACCAAGATCGATCCCCGCTCTTATATAGTCGCTGTTCCTCCAACGTAGTCTTCCTCGTCTTCCGTGGCCGCACGCCTTTTGAACAAAGGCTTGTGTAATTAAGCGTAGAAGGAAAGAGAAACCACTTTGCGGCACCACTGCGTTCGCGCGATCGGCACCGCGCGCTCTCTATTTCCGTTTTTTGAACTGTTACTGAGCTTGTTTTTAATAAACTTGTTTTTTTGTTTGTTAGAACGGCAGCGGACCGGGCGGCGAATCCGGCGGACGAGCGAACGGGTAAGTCATTATTTTTCTAATTAAGCTCACCTTAATCCCGTTGTTGCAAATTTATTTTTGCGCAAATCCCACACTCTCTCACAAGAGTCGCGTATCAAGTTTGATCAAATTAACCAAAATCTCGGTCACATACACACACACATACACACACGTTCATTAATCTTTAAAATGTTCTATGTTTTTTAAAGCCACACATATACATGTGCACGAGACTATGTAACATTAAATGAAACACATTTATTTATGACATAAAATGAATATATTTTATCGCGTTATTTTTTTATCAAACTCTTAATAGTAAATATAGGAAAATAAATTGTGAGCGATAACCAACCAGAAATATCTACGTCCGTTCTTCGTAAGGTGTGATTTAAGATATCTCGCAATCATTCTCTTTAAGTGCCAAATGGAAGATGAAATAAATCGCTGATAAAATGTCTTCCAATTTACCTTCCTCTCTTTATATACAGAGCAATATTTCCGATAAATTTTTATCTTAAAATATACGAACAACGAAGCATCTCGCGAGCCTGTCATTGTTGACGTTCGGAAAAAAACTATGTCGCACAAATGGCGGTTCTCAAATCTCGATATATCGCACTTTTTTACAATAACTTATTTATCCGTTAATAAATTTATTTCGTAAACCATTCTTAAAAAGTCTTCAGATTGTTTAATAAAAAAAACCTGTTCAAAAAAATTTTATTGCTATATATTTTTCGTACAATTAAAACTTCTAAAAAAATTTTAGAAAACCTCGATGTGGAAATATCGTCGAATGTAATTTTATACTTATAATAAATTGGCGTGGACTTATGGATATTCTCGGATTTCCCGAAAAGTTTCTAACAAGCACAAATTTCCTTCGTGTTCCTCTGAAGCGTGCAGAGAAATCTCTCCAAGAACTATGGCCAACTTGAGCGTGCAGTTTGATTTCGAAAGTTGAGTTCATTTCCACGCGAAATCGATCGCAGGGTCAACTTGTAAACGTTTTATCGACATTCGTTTCTTATCCGCCTATGCGAACGTTTCAAGGTTTATCGATTTCCTGAAGTTATTACGGACATTTCCAATATTGTGTTTCTTTTATATTTGCTACATCTAATTTTGTTTTTCTTTAGCTTCAACGAGAACGATATTTTGCGATAAACGTAGCAACGTGGTAGAATAATATTTATTATTAAACTACTCCGTAAAACAAAAAAACGCAAGAATTAGCTTCTTAAATCGTTTTCTTTCGAAAATGGAAGATTCGACACGTGATCGCAATCTCATGCTGACGCAAGTTCCGAAATCCTTTTTGTTGCAGGCATCCAGGCGACAATCCTTTCTACAGCACCATCGACAGCATGCCGGACATTCGACCGCGCCGGAAGTCGATACCATTGGTTTCCGAGCTGGTAGGTAGCCGTTTGCCTATTAACACCACTTCGCCATTGTGTCTCCGCGTATATATACGTACATATGTATAAGTACACTCATATACATCCATGTACACACATACATATATGTATGCCTGGACCGTCCGTACATATATATTCGTCGGAAATAATTACCAATCCGACGGAACGTTCTCGTTGTGTCGTCATTCGTTATTAACGTCGTCGTCGTCGTCGTCGTCGTCGTCGTCGTCGTTGTCGTCGCCGTCGCCGTCGCCGTCGCCGTCGCCGTCGTCGTCGTCGCCGTCGTCGCCGTCGTCGTCGTTGTCATCGTCGTCGTCGCTCTATTCTCTGTGGTCGTCGAGATATTTTTTTAAATGATTCTCGCGTTTGTTTTTTTTTTTTTTTCTATTTTTGCGCTCAGCACGAGTTTGACCTCTCAGCGATCTCTGCGGATATTGCGCGGCCGGATTTAATTAATTTGCCCACCTAGCTCGGGGGCCGTCTCCTGGTAGCGTGTGCGTGGATATTTTAGAATTTTCAACGCGTTTTGTTGTCTCGTACGCGCTTTGCAGCTATGTATCCCACGTTTGTGCTTCGCGGACGGAGAGAAAACTGGAATTAATTACTTCATCGTGCGCGCAGCGTGGTGCATTTTGCGCGGCGACGATACTTGAAAACTTTATTTCGCCGAATCGTGCTATATAAATTGTAATAACGAATATGTTCGCTGATACGGTCGATATACGGTTGAAAATTTCTGTACACACTGCTGTTCCACACAGTGCGTTGAGTGAGTTTTTTTTTATTTTTTATTTTTTTATTTATGTTCATTCCGTTATGACAGTACAGAGAAACTTGGTTGAAACATCACCAAGCAACCAACTGGAGAAACGTGTGTGGCAAATCTATTCGCGAGATGTTTGCCGATTCGAGCTATAAAATATGAATCTGATATTCTCATGCGAATCAATCGTCGGACAACATGTGTGTATCGATTATGATAATGAATTTGATACTTCGACGACCACGAGCCAGCCGCGACGCTTTGTTATTTGTTTTGTCGTGTTCACCCGAAAGAGAAAGCTGCAAAATATCGAGTCTCGATATTTTGCGCTCTATATACCTCTCCATTTTCCGACAATCATTATCCTTTGTGGGAATAATGAGTGAACGTAATGAGAAACTTTTCAACTGAAAAGTTAAATTCCGAATTTAATTAATCTGTCATCCAGACAGAAGTGTAATTCCCTTCAACCTTCTCCTCACTGTGTTTTCTCGATTGCAAAAGCAAGCCTCGCTTCTCCTCCTCCTCCTAACTTCATCCACATCCCATCTCGCGAGACGATGACGGCGACCTAAAATAAAATATCTTCGTCGCGACATCTAACTCTGTGTATCGTGTGCGACGGCATCCGAGGATTTACAAAAAACAACAAAAAAGAAAGCTAGATAACAAAACTGAAATTACGAAGGATGTATATCGCATTATCGAGATGAGGCAAAAAAAAATCCTCAGATGCTGCTCTCAAGAATCGTGTATCTTGTCGTGACCTAATTGCGTGTTTTACGTTTCAGTGTTACCGTCGTTATCTGCGACGAATGAAATTGCTAATTTTTCTAAAAGCAAAGAGCCAACAATGAGATCTGGCAAAATATCTTCTTCTACTCTCAACCGATTTCCCTCTTTTTCCCGTGAAATTCCCGTTACGAAGAAATATGATTTTCAACTTATTAACTGAATACATATTTCAACATTAATATTCTGAAAATTTATCGGTGAAATATTAAAATTAGCTCATCGGTTTCGTGCTACGCGCGAAATTTCCTATTGTAACCAAAAGTTTCATCAAAGTGCTTTTGCCTTCAAGTCTCGATTAAAATATAATATTAGATTTAACTCGCGTAATTTTTTAACTTTTCAAATTATATTTTCGCTGTACATTACGGAAATGTCGTTGTCGATCGTTCAGAGAACAAATGTAAATAAAAAAGAGTAATAAATGTGTGTGCGGGGCAAATTATTTACAAGAAGAATCGTGTGAGATAAAGAGAGATACAAAAATGTCGAAATATTCTATATTTTAACTTTTATCAGTTTTTTTTAATCTCTTATCAGCTCAGTCGTATTATATATAACATAGTGACGCACGTACTTCGAACTTTAATAAAAATGTCTTGCCTACGTCACGGATGCTATTGCGAGCTAAGTGCTCGCGTGTGCAACTAGTGCGTGATGATTTAAATGAAATTCTTAAGCAGTTTATCGATCGCAACCCGGAGAAAAGCAGCCGGTGAGGATAAGTGTGTCGCGCATAGAGTGTGAGATTTAATTTAACGCCACAAAAGTGAGACATCGAAAGTAAAGTGTAATTTTGTCGAGCTAACATTTTTTGCACATCAGAAAAAACCGAAATATTTTTAAGTGGTGCAAAGTTTTCCAACAATTTTTTACTGCAGTTCATGTTGAAAAACTATTAACTCTTTCGAGATCGTATATAACAGAATTATGAGATTGCGTATTTTTCCATCAGTTATATGAATTAATTAATGTTTGAAAAATTCACCGATTTTTCCTTCTCCCCGTAAGTAGCATCGCACTCCATTTCCTAGACTAGAAATTTTCCCCACAATCCTTCTTTTTTATTAGATTCCGCAATCCGATGTCTGTCTCCCTGTATGTTTGTCTTCCTGTTTAATGTTATCCGTTTTAATAATTGTTGTGTATATCTCATGTATAATGTGGGATCCTGAAATCTCTCTCTCGCGACGTGAAATGTAGTATTTTTTTATGTGATATCATGTCGCGAATAATATTGTCCAGGCAGTCCGTGAAAAGCGCGAATAGATTACTGGGTTATAACCGCAGAGCATTTGCGTCATTCGCCGGAAAAATTGCAGTTGCCGGCGGTGAACCGCGCGCGTTTGCAGCGCGCCCCGCCTGCATCATCGTCAAACTGACAAAATTGACTGACCACGCGTGAAATGCGATTATCGCCCAGTGTGAGCTTGCTCGTTTAAATTCATCACGGAGATGGTAAACTCTTGAGGCGCAAATTATTCTAGCGCGAAACTTATCGCACAACTCTTTCTCTGTTAAGGAAGATTTCTCCTTGGGAAAAAAATATATCTTGATTTTTTTCTAATGCATACGTTGTATATTTTTCAAGTCGCCTCTTCATGATGGATGAATCCCAACTATATTTGTCTAACATCGCGTCTTTGTGCCTATCTTGTCGACTAATTTAAAAAAAAAAAAAACTGTTTTACATAACATTCATACTATAAATAAGAAAGAAAAATTATATATTGCAAAAATATATAATTGCAAGAGAGTGATACACATACTAACCGGCATAATGCTATTTCTTTGTTTGTTCTCTGTGGCGCCCGTTGTTGTATCCACCTGAACACCTGAAAAAAACAAAACCACTCTCACTGAAAAAAACCTCTCAAAAAATCTCAAAAACTCTACCTCCAGGTCTTGAAGGTACTAATTAAATGCCTCCATAGCCAAGTCAATTAAAAGCTTGTTCGAACGTTTGCATGCGGATTTTTTATATTTGCCTTTTTTTTTTTTTGCTCTTTCTCACTATATGTTAGCTACTACGTAATACCGGCGTTTACTTTTTCTCTCGTTGACATTCTTTTCTCTCATTTGTGTTTTCTCGTTATTTAAATTTCTCTTGCTGTTGATTGCTTCGCTCTGTCTATTGTTACTTTTCTATTCAGATGTGTGTTTCTTTTCTTTTTGCTGACGATTTACCGTAAGAAGGGAAAATATACATGCATGCGTATTCCTTCTCTTGTGAGCAAATCGTTGGAGGTCGCGTTCTTCTCGACAGAATGGACCCAACGGTGTGGAAACTCCCTGATTACATCTCTAATTTGATACCAGTCCGTTACTGCTCTCGTTACTAAATAGAAACCGGAGAGTAATTTCGTTATCCGCGGGACATGCAATTTCTATCTCCACGCAAATGAAATATCGAATACGCGAGAAAACAGCATGCCACGTCTTCAGCGACTCGTTAAATTGAACACGCTGTGTGGTGTTTCGATTCGAATAATTAGAGACGGACGGGAGATGTTTGCGCTTCAACGTTTGCGCATTGTGTCGTGTGCTTTTTAACGCGGCTTGCATCTAGCAACTTCGCATTTTGCACGAGAACGCATGAGATTAACATCTTCGTGATAACAAAAATGTGTCAGTCACAAGAACAACCGCGTCAAAGTGAATTAGAACTTTTAGAGATGAAGTTTTTTTTCGATATATAATTATTTCTTCTCGTCTGCACATTTTAATCTTTCTCTCTCTCTCTCTCTCTCTCTTTCTCTGTGTAATCCAAGTCACAGTTTTCACTCATTTCTTAGACAAAATGCAATACGCATCGCAGGTAATTTTGTTTGATCTCATATGTACAGAGATTTTCTCACTTGCATGAGATTGTGTGTTCGGTGTTTTGAACCTTAGTGTTGCATGAATATCTCGACGTAGTAATTGTATTACGGGTAGTTGTGCATGTGTGAAATTAAACTAACATAAGATAATTTATAAGGACGTTTTGATATGACAATTCTTATATACGAGTTACGAAAAAAGAAAAAAAAAAACTAGCTCTGACAAAAAGCTTTTTTTGATTCGTTAATTAACTGTTTTTTGTCTCTCACCGTCGCCTCGCTTCTCTGTTTCTCGCGATGCGAGAAGAAGCGAAGCGCAATGCGGATGAGCGCAACGATATCGTTAAGAAATCCGATATCCGCGCGCGCGATAAAGACAAATTGAATTACACGGCGTCCTTCTCTTAACGTCACGTCCCACGTGTGTGTTTCGTACCATCAAAGAACATTGGGAAAAAACAATGGCGTAACAACGTGAGCATATGTACACAGATTACGGCAGATAAAAGACAGATTAGCGAAGTTAACGCCCGGTACGAAACAATAATGGCGCGTGCACGTTTTGCGGGGCGCCGTGCATAATATCTTAATTGAAATCTATGCTAAACCACAAATCCTATCGCGCACCACACCTACCTAACGCTATAATCTAATTGGATTAGATTTTCCCTCCGCGGCGAGTTTCGCTCTCCCCTCTCTTTCCTTTCAATCTCCTCTCTTTTTCTCTCTCTCTCTCTCTTTCTTTTTCTCTCCTCTGAATTTTCACAGCGACTGATTTCGACAACTAATTTATACGTTTATTATTTTATCTTCTGTCGTTTCCGCTCTATTCATTTTCGTCTCTCACTCTCTCTCTCTCTCTCTCTCTCATTCTCTATGCTCTATCTTCATTCTAAGTTCAATCTTGTACATACTATTACACATATTAGATACATACCACACACACATATGCGCGTTTCCAATCGAATATGCAAATCTACGGTTGCATTGAGACTACGCTCGACCTTATTAAGCAGGGGTCAATCTCTGATTAGCCCCTCGTATAATTTCCGTCTCGGGACTTCGACACACGGTAACGTATAATCCGATCCTTCGAGTCGAATCTTATTACCGGTTTTGATATTTGCAATCTCGTTTGTTGACCGCTGCATTAATTTTCTCTCTCCACCTAGCTTACATCTTCACGCTCACGTAGAGAGATAATTATTCAGTTAATGCATTTAAGTCTCTTGCAAATATTTGCACGAACAGACGTATCGTGGTGTTTCGCCGTAAAACAGCGGCGGTCAGTATAGCTGCTTATTAAATTTGTAACACTTCAGAAACGCGCGCGCGTTCATTCTCTCTCTGTTGTTCGGATATTACGTAATGTCAGTCCGGCTGACAACAAAGTTAGTCTGTCCGAGTTAAACATAGAGAATCTGGTAAACGTCCCTTAACATTTTCAATACAATCTCACAAAGAGAACAATTTTCTCAGGGAGTATGACGTGTATATATAATATATACCTATGTATTTATTTATATATACATATATATATATATATATCTCCCGTACATAAATCACATTTCTACTCTCTCATCTCATAATGAAACTTGTAAATAGAAATTCATATTTCTATATTTCACCTGGCATGGAAAACTGTAATGTCACCGCTTCTTTCTCCTTCACGTTATAAGATTTCTCTTCGGCTTTGGATTTGTGTTTTTTCTATCTCGCAAGTTTCTTTCACAACGGATATAATTTAATCTCGGTGTCAAATTGCTTTTTAGAAAATGTTTCGCACATCTCTTTTATTATACATATTAAAAAGATATTAAAATTTTATATATATAGTCTCATATATTATCACGATTAAATAATTTTCATGTCAACGTGAAACACCGTTTGTTTTTGTCGTGTTATTTATTCTTGTCTGAGACTCGTGAATAGTCGTGTTTCTATTATTATACGTAAATCTCGATGTTGAAAAAACTTATCTGTAAATAACACCTTACAAAAAAATTTTTCTTCACGTTTGAAGTTTTATTTACTCGTATATCTTTATGTTCTTTTCACATCTATCATTTTATTTTTGTCTATTCTGCTGTTCTTAATCTCTCTTTCTCTTTCTCTTTCTCTTTCTCTCTCTCTCTCTCTCTCTCTTCCTTTCAGTTTCTCAGTCCCAGGACTTTATCACTGACTATGCAATAGAGAGACTGGAAGGCATCATTCTTTTATCAGATGCACATTAATGTCTCATTTTTTCTCAGACTATGGCGGCGACCAAGAGGAACGCTGGTCTCACATCTGCCGTGCCTCGAGCGACGCTCAACGACGAAGAGCTGGTAAGAAATTGCCCTTTAGGCACATTCATCATCCGCACCTTCATGTCGTCATGTGTGTTAATCGACCGCAAGAAAAACGTGTTTACCGTGCGAAAAAGAAGGTTAGAAGGTATCATCCGAGCTGCCTCGGTGGTATTTAAGTTCTGTTTACAAGAGAGGAAACTTACCTTTCTATTTTCCGAGACCGCATGGGGACGACGCGCCCCATGTTACTTAGCGCGATACATAAATCGCGAAGCGAGGCTCAAAGGATTATTGCTAACTCTTTTCCGGTAATATATTAATAACCGGAGAGAACTTTTCGGCACTAATGAGAAGAAAAAGAAAAAAATGAAACGCAGTTTCTCCGCTTTTGAGAGCAAAAGTAAAACAAAAACTATATACTAGGGTTACTCTTCTCGCGCACCAGCTGCGAGAAAGAAGCATTAAGGCGAAAAGGTAATATCGGAAGAAATACGGAGACAGGTATCAGATAGGAGTTAGGTCGCACACATCATTTAATTTTAAGTTCAATACCGGCGAGAGACCGGCGCCGAAGGGACTCAACTTAACCATTGGACTCTCTCTGTTTTCTTTCAAACGCGCCGCATTTTATCCTCATTTCCACGCTATTTTCTTTCACGTAAGTGTGATCTCGCCTGTTTTCTGAAATCTTTTCTCTCTGTTTACCCTTTCACACACACACACTATGTATTCATATTATTTTGGAGCAACTGTGTCGTAACGATCCTAGTATAAAACGCATTAGCAGTTATAGGAGATCGAGACACGGGACATTTCACGTGCGCACGCATACGTGAAACACGTAGGACAGTACGTACATTAGGTGAGAGAAAGTAGTCGAGACGTACGTAGAAGTCGACGGAAGATATACGATGCGGCACACGTCAGAAGAAAGATAGCTAGATACTAGTTTAGAGGAGTTTCCGATTCCTGTGACGTGGGATGTTTCCTCGTATATGTATATATCGAATAACTGGTGTCTTCTTCCGGGTCACTTTGACGCGTGTGCGCGTGATATTCGGTAACAAGATCCTTCTCGAATGGTGCGATTTATTTAAACGTTCTGAGGAAAACTCACGAGAGTGTGTAACGAGCCGACATTCTGTAATTCAGTTACATCGCGCAGTTTGTCAGCGACTGACGACGTGAGCTTCGAGAGTTCACAACATGAAGGCTTATTTCCGCGAATCAACGATCTTGACGAAACTCGATCGATATTCTCGAGTCCGCAAGTGAAAAATAACGTCGTTTTGCTTACGTATTTTTTTTTTTTTTAAAGAAAATTTATTCTTATCGGGGGAACATTCCGAACTCACACACACGTTAGCATAGTGCATCTTAGCAGATCGATGCTTTTACACCCTTTCTTATCAGATAGTCTAACGATATCTAGAAAAACGTGCTCATCCCGAAGCTTCTCCGCAGCGAAAGAACTATCTATCCTGCACCCAACGAAAAAAAAAAAAAAAAAAGAATGATTTCCTCAAACGTGATGGAATGATCTTCTTACGATCGAGAAAGCTCGCGCACATGTGCTCGCGAAGATCTCTTTAGATGATCCTCCTTGCTAAGAGCATGAAAAAAGAGATACTCGAAAGAGGAAAAAAAACCGATAGAAAGTGAGAGACAGACGTGTTCTCGAAAATCGGAAGCCGCACGACGTTCTTCTCTCGTTTTCGAGAGGCGCGCGCGCGAGCAAGTAGATAGCGGAGAATTTAAACCATCCTCTTAGCGCGTATATCCAATTCGCTTCGATTGGAACCTCACGCGAATTCCTTTGTGCAGCTTAACATTCACGTTATACGGTTTGCGTGCACACGATTGAGTATGTAACTACTAGAGATCTAAAGGCACAAAGATCCCCAAGATTGATTTAGAAATGGTGTTTTTTTTTTTTTTTTAACGAGAAACCGAATGAGCGAAGGAATTAACACGAACGTTAATTCCTTCTGTGAATGTTACGGTTTAAAAAACTCTGACTGAAACGATCAGATTTGGGTTATTCGCGCGAAGAGAAACAAAATGTCCGTTGAAAATCGATAGAAGTAAGCTTTCAAATTGGAAGAACGTATTTTTTTTCCCCTTTAAAAGGTCACAATGAAGCGATCTCGTTTTTCGATCGGATATAGATTTCGCTAATATCGTTCCCGATGTAATCTGATACATATCTCACAATAGTTACATTTATTTTTCATACAAGCGCGGCTAATAGAATTTTATAGTATGCAACCAACCGCGACGTTCGTACATGTTGAATATCGGCCAATCCAAGAGTATATTAATTTCCAGTAGTATTAATTGAATGAGGTAAGTTTGAGCAGAAAACGCGTTTTATTCAATTGAGTAATAATTACGAGATTTAAGATGTTTATGTTAAGCGTTAACGTAGAAATTTGCAGATTATTGTAGATAATTAAAAAAAGTTAAAAAATGTTAAAAAATGTTAAATAATATAAAAGACGTGATGATGGAACGTATCGATTCAACAATCTCTGCTACTCAAGCGTGAAACTCTGTCGATCGTCGTAACTTTTACGATTAGAAGATCGAAGTAGAAAATCGAATGTTTGCATCAATCACCTTCCCTGTTTTCTTTTCCTCCCTGTATCTTGCTCCTGCGATATTTTCGATTTTCACGGCGATGCAAATCGCGATAAAACATCCGCAGAAGATGCACGTGTACAAGAAAACCCTGCAAGCGATGATCTACCCAATATCGTCGACCACTCCTCACAATTTCGTTACCTGGACGGCTACGTCGCCGACCTACTGCTACGAGTGCGAAGGTCTCCTCTGGGGCATCGCCCGGCAGGGAGTTCGATGTATGGAATGCGGTGTCAAGTGCCACGAGAAGTGCAAGGATCTGCTGAACGCCGACTGCTTGCAGAGTGAGTAGCAATATTCTGTAATATAGCTTCCAAGCGCAATTACTCTGCATTTCTAAAATTACGATCCCTTGTATAAAAAGAGAAGAGTAAATTGAATTATTTATTACACTTTTATTAAATAGTCGAGCATCAGATAATTCAGTTCTGAGAGAAGAAAGATATCTACAAAGTCACGATAAATTAACGCCATTAAAACGCTGAGAGAGAGAGAGAGAAAGAAAAACGATTCTCGAACGCGAAGTTAATAATTGTCATATTAAATCAACTCCTCGACCGGAGAAAGAGCTATAAACGTACTTTCAAGAGGCGTCACAAAGGCTCTCTTCTTATTAGACGATAAAGTAACCGTCATTAAGAGCTTCGGGTTCATTCATTAACAAGTGGGTGGCACCGATGAGATAACAAGAAACTTAAGCCTTAAGCCGAAGAGAAAGATTGCGCGACTCGTTAAACAGAAATATTAAGCGAACGAACGAGACGTGCAAGTCAAATGATTATTTTTTCTCCTGATCTTTTTCTCTCTCTCTCTCGCCCGTCGATGCTACTTCGACGCGAATTAATAATTAATTTGCTACGGGAGACACACTTCGCGCGACGTCTGTCTCTCCCGCGATCACGCCGCTATTCTCGTCGCGCCCGGCGCCTTGTCAATAAACGGATATTATTTCCGTCTCATAAAATCGATTCGGGGATAAACGCGGCCGATTGTTAAAGCGCGCAATTGGATTTCACGTTGGATTGACCGTTTCGCGGAGAAATAATTTTTGCACACAAAAGGTGCAATACGTTCTCTCGACGCGAAGACTCTTTCTCTTTTCCTCTCGTGTGTTCGCGCAATAAAAGGATCAATAACGAGACGCGACGAATTTTATAAACCATTTCCGGTGTGTTCGAGAACCCGGGTGAGGTATGTAACGACACATTTAATGCCGGCTCGTCCATCAGATTTCCAATTTGATTCCGATGCGAGTTCCTCGCATTTCTCTGTACGTCCCCTTTGTGTCCGAATAGTATTCCGCTTATCGATTTGTGTAACGTTCTTCGAACTAACGATACCCAACCCTGTCTCCGTCGATTGCTCCTGGTAAAGTTTCTTTCCTTAATCAGACAGTCTACGATCAATTTATAGCCTCACTCGCCGCACGAGTCGGTTTGCGACCGTGCTCGATTAATTCCCTCTCATCCATTGTCGTCTGATGTAATTCGATGTACCGGGTGTTTGTTTTCTTTTTTTCTTTTTCTTTCCTCGTACGACCGCGTTATTCTGAATTGCAACGGGATTTGTCGCGATAATTAAAATCACTATCGAATCCAATTTTTATCTACACGAAATTTGAAACACGATCGACACACACGCGTGTGTATCAAATACCATCTCATTCACGTGAAACGTGTTTCACGGTGCCATGCGATCGTCCTTGCATTTAACGTATCTGATAACCAGCGATTGCATAGAAATCGAAATTGATCGGCTGTGCACTGTATGCATAGAGTTATTTATCACAATTTGTGATACGTCATATCTTCTTTAGTTCGTATATGTAATTTTGCGAAGCGCGATACTCCCGGTGATACGTTATATTCGTGCCACGGTGGTATTAACGTTGTGATATTTATTTTTCCCCTGTTCTTCTATTCCTTCTCTCTCTCTCTTTCTCGATCACTGGAATACGAAAATGTTGATATTAACTCAATCAATAAAACCGGCGATGATAGAAATCGTGATTTCGCGCAGTATGAAATTTTGTCTCGCGCGGAAAAAAAACTCGCAATTTTTGTTTTTTTTCTGTTTTTTTTTTTTAAAGCGTTTTATCAATTTGACCCATCGAGGCACACGGTGCGTGCAGACGTACGCGTCAAATCATGTAATAAATCTTCTTTATGCGCGCGCAAAACGTTTTTCTCTCTGCAACAACAGAGAGATATAAAACATTTTATCGACACCGAGATATATAGACCATTGAGAATTAATCTGCAACAAATAATCGGATTATTTTGTTGAAATGTTTAACTAAAAATTTGCGCTCGCGCTAATTCAGATTTAACGACGAGAAATAACTGTATGCAAATAGATATATGCGAGAATCTCGAATACATTTGTGTTTCCGTTATTCGCGTTATTTGCTCTCTCTCTCTCTCTTTCTCACACAGGGGCGGCTGAGAAGAGCTCGAAACACGGCGCCGAGGATAAGGCGAATAGCATAATCACGGCGATGAAGGAGAGGATGAAGCAAAGGGAACGAGAAAAACCGGAGATCTTCGAACTGATTCGGTAAGTGTTTCGCTTATATATCGCGTTGTTGTTTTCTACATATATACTCAAATTTTGTCACAGCCGCAGAAATACAAATAAACATCGTAACTGTCGATCTTCGGCAGTTCGGGTTTGAGGACACCGCGATCGATAATGATACAACAAAAAATCGATCTCCGCACGCAATTTATCAATCATCTGTCACCATTGCTCGCAGTGTTTTCGAAATAGCTAAAATCTATATTTGTATAATTCCAAGTCCGTTCGAAGATTGATGACACCGGTTTTGCATTATATGTTGTGCGGTATGTATAAACCGTGCGGAAAGAGAAGTAACACGCCGCCTGTGACCTATAATAATAAATTAAATTTCATTTCGACACCGCACGAACTGATTATTCACCGCGGTATTAACAATTCTTCGAAATATTTCCTTTTTATTCCGCTCGAGAATTGTCTTTACGTGAGCGGAAATGACATGGCGAATACATAAATCGCTTCTACCGAGACGAATGTATCTATTCCGTGAGTTCAAACATAGAAAATCGTAAATCGTGTGCTGTATAAACGTCGTTGGCGTGAATATCAATGCGCCACGACGCGACGCATTTCTCGAGATGTAGCGCGATGACTTTTCGAGCAATGTTTGACGATAAATTCCGGAAGAAGAGACGCACAAATTACTTTCGCACACAAGGAGATGACGACTCAAGCAGAGTAGTAACGCAAAGATACACACATCCCGTCTTCGCGATATCATTAATTTTATGGAAGAGACGAGATGTTTAATAACCGTGTTATTTTTGTGCGGATCGATAAATAAGCAGAGCTAAATAATCTCAGGAATTAATGTCATCCACTCCCTCTCGAGCGCGTTAATCCGTATTGGCATTTATGTCTATATACATTTACGTATCATATTATTATTTCGCATTCCTGGATTAATACTTGTGTTCGTGGAAACATCTGAACGCATCTCTTTGCTCCGCGTTGTTTGACACGTTGGACGATAATCCGCCGGTGATCACATTCGTAATTTGTACAGCAAACAAATTTTGATTTCTTTTTTTCTTCACGGAAGTGTCTCACAAAGACAAATCCGAGCGTGCATGTAATGCGTGGGCGAAACCGACCACGCATGTGTATTTACAGGGCGAATGATAAATGAGAGATAGAGCAACACACATAAAGCTCAGACATCGCGTCATCATCGTTATAATAACGATCTAATCGCATTTGCGCACCTTGCGTCAATCCGTTGCATATCTCTGTCGTTGCTCGATGCCATATAATTAATTAAGCGGCGAGCTATTCGAGATATCTTGATTCCTTCCCGTACCGCGTTACCGGTCTTATTACTCGAATCGGCTCTGTTGACGCGACGATTATAAATATCGGCGACGCAAAAGCGAGATAAAACACTGGCGCGCGCGCACGCGGCCAACTAGGCAGTCGGTTAATGAAAATCAACGTTGATTAATATCGCTCGTGCAATTTACATTATGAGAGACCCGTCCCAATAATCGCGTCGATCGATACTTGTTCAATTAATCGTATGTATTAGCATATTACGGAAATCTCGCTTGTTTTTTTGTTTTTTTTTTTTTAATTTTTTTTTTACCGAGATATAATTGCAAAATTTATTTGCGCACCTCGCCATTATAATTGTTGTCCGATCGTCGCGTGCCGATAAATCTTTTTCAATCCCTTTTCCAATCAACACGAAGAAGATCCGCTGATGAAGTGTTATTAGCAAAAAATGACCGATTCCGCGCGTTTTATCCAGAGCAAACACGCGCGAGTGAATTGACGCGGCGAATTACTATCCGCAGATATTTTTCTCGCGTTTTCGTCGAGTATTATATCAACGTAATTTAGCCTCTTCGGTAATTAGCACGCGCGAAATTAGTGGAACAGCTGCAACGATCATTATCAGGGAAACCGTGGTCCGGCGTTGTCTCTCTGCAAGAAATAGTACAATGCGAAATATGTTTGTGTGCGTCACGTCCGCAAACGATTACGTATATATATATATGTACCCGTTACTACGAGAATCGTAATTAATTTAATATCCCAGGCGACAATAATTACTTCTCGATTAAAGCCGTCTCTCTGTGTACACAGCGAACGATGGACTGGAATTAATCTCATAATTAAATGGAACGTATAAATGCGCGCCGGAAATACTGCGATGCAATGGCGATAAGTGATACACACACAGGCGAAGTCAGGCGGAGCGAACGATGCGCCAAAGCGAAAGCTTCACATTTCCATACAGGGCCCGATCTCGTCTTCTCTCAAGAGCATATATTAGTTCGCGACGATTTCGTCCGAACGGATATACGACGTACGGTCGTGCCTTCGTGCTATCAACGGCAATCAACGTTCTCGTTAGCGGCTTGATCGATGACCAGGTGCTTTAATTAGAAAGGCCGTTTGACCGGCCTGTTCCAAAAATTTCCATTGCCTCGATTGCCGCGTGTTACGTTTGATTTCCCGTAGTTTTTTGACCTTCGACCGCGTTATCGGAAAAATTTAGCAAGAAACGACTCGCCGTTTCTAGCGAAGTAACGATCCCTACAAAGAGAATTTTCGAGCTCTCGCGTGTGCAAGAGTCGCGGCTGATAATCCCTCTGCGTTCTCCATCACTTTTACGGATTATTATTTATATAAAAAGCAGACACTAATTTTTCAGTCCGAGCGGCAAAAGAATCTCTAACTAAACACACGTCGATTACAAAATTATTTCGCGTCGTGAAATATTTTTAAAAACAGGTAAAATAAAACTTCCACAGCAGAGGTAAATTTTCTTTTGAGGATATTAGATCGCGTATCTTTTTTATAAAGCGCGCCGCGAAGATAATTCACAGCGCGGAATAAATTCTGGCCGACGAGAGAGAGAAAATATATAGGAGACGAGATCGCGGTCATTCGCATCAGCTCATATGAAAGAGAGTCTCGTCGGAGTTTAGGTCTGTCTTCGGGGTCGACGAAAAGGCGCACGCGGGTCACATGATGGCAGTGGAGCAGTCGGTTTTGGACGGTACCAGCAAGTGGTCGGCGAAGATCGCTATTACAGGTTTGTGAGCAGCTCGCCGGCTCCTAAAAAGGCTCTTGTGCACACCTTCGTAACCTTCGTGCGACCCGTGAGAGCACCAGTCGACGGTGCTCGAACATATATACGTACATATTATATGTGCTGCGTATGCCTCCGTATTTTTTGATATCCCAATTCATTAAATATGAATATGCGTATGCGGACACAATTATTTTTCACCCTTATTATTGTTATTAATGTCATTACTTATATATATATATGTACCTTGACGTCAGATGTGTGGCGACATAACTGGCTCTCTTGATGGCTGCCGCGTGTGGCTGTGTTGTATTGATTGCCATAAACATGTTGCCGTTGTACAGTGTTGACCGCCCATATATTCCCACATATAAACTCCATTGTCGAAATACGCTCGACCATCGTGCGATAACGCGAAATAGAATATGAAAAGAGACTCCCGCCTACACTGCAAATCCAAGTGTGTTAATTTAACACACTTGACGTGTGTTTTTATTGAAGTCACTTTTAATACGTTTCTTAGTGTTTAAAATTGGAACACGCTTAATACGTGTTGATTTAACTCACTAAATTAACACGTTTTAAATGTATAAT